CTGTGTTCTGCTGACTTGTGAAGCATTCAGACATGCCCCAAGTGGACGGTGTAGCCATGAGGGAGAAAGGCAGCCACATAAGCCAAGAAATAGCATTCCTCTAAGGCAACTAAACAAGCCATGCATTGTTACAAAAAGTACTACACCAACAAGGAAGGAAATACACTTTTTTTCCTATAGTTGAAAGTAGGAGCACATGACCCATTTACCCCACAATTCTCTTTTTGCTTGGCAGATGCAGTTTGGTTCACTGTTTACAGCTATTTCTAATACAAGGCATTCAGTGGAGCATATTTCAAAAATTATGAAAAGACACACTTACATAGAATGTATTAAACTTGCAAGAAAATTGAAAAATGCACGAACATAATTGTTAGTCCCAACCGTGCTATCAGGGAAAGTCAGACAATATTCTGGGTGATGAGTCCTGGAATAAAACTACTTTATCAGGGGCTACAGAGTATGGAATCCATCTCATGAAAGAAATCCTTATTTCACAGGGCTTTCTTTATGAAAACAAGTACTTTTCTTTCATATCAGAAATCAAGATTAGCTTATCAATTATTTAATTGTGAATTTAGTACTGAAAAGTCTTGATTGCTCAATAGGTATTGCTGGAAAGGAAGTTTCAGATGTGCAGAAACTGTTGTACTTTTGACACAGGCCATGAATCCACACAGAATTCCATCTAAAAATGTCTCTTCAGAGTTATTTGATATTAAAAAATCTTAGGAATGATGAAACTGGCAGAATAAATTCTGGATTTAAAAATTGCATTAAAAATTCAACCACATAAAAATCTTCCTGCTCTATAACCTCAGATAGATTAGTATAACCATGCACATGAATCTTTTTTCAGATGTCCGTGGGTAATTATAGGAACAGAGGGTGGATCCTGAACTTGTGAAAACCATTATAGCTTCACAGAAGCCAATTTATGCCAGCTGAAGTTCTGGCCCATAAAATCTCTTCTAAACCTGAAAGAACATCTTGTACTACAATGTTATTGGTCCTCAGGTGATTGAAAGCCATCCTAATGAACAGTTTGGTCTCAGAAAAAAAAAAAAGAAAAAAAAAAAGGATAAAAAGATTGTATGTCTGTCAAACTTCTGCTGTGTTCCTTTATTTAATTGGATTAAGAAGATATATTTAAGAAGAAAGCTTGCCTGGTACAATGCACCATTAGTCACGTGCTGCTTCTCAATAGTGAAACCATCAATTTTATTATAGATGTGAATAAGTGCAAGATGTCTGACTATAATTGGAACAGGAGCCAAGAAGCAGATGGGGATTCTGATTAAGAGCATACCTCCTGGGTATATGTTGTACAAGCAGCATCTCTAGCAGAAGAGAGAAGGTTATCAAGCCCTTTTACAATATATATGCAAACCAGATACAAACACAGTAACGTAAGCTTGAAGTTTATTTTTGGAAGCTGTGTGTTTAAGAAAAGGTTCTGTTTCATGTAAAGGAGACAAGCATTTGCGTCCACGCAACACAAAATATGTTTTATCAGTTCCACAGAAGAAACATGTCGAAAAGAAGAACACTTTGGATGATCCGTTTTTGAAGTTAGTATTAAAAAAAAAAAAAAAAATCCAGAACACCACAGTAGGTATGAGTGACTTCACCATGGGAAATGAAGTAATGTGCAAGCGCTGGGTGTTACAGAAAAAAAAAAGAGATCAAATCTACTAATTTGGTAGAAGAATAACATTTGTTCTTAAATGGATCCTTTACATTTTATGATTAACATATTTAAACCTTAAATTTAGGAATTTAATTTCAGACTGTTTTTAAGAAACAAGATTTTTGCAAATACAAAAATATGCCACTGCCTTACCCAGAGCGCTGGCAACAAATGTGCCCACTCAAAGGAATAAATCTTCCCCTCACTCTTAGGACAGATTAGGACACAGCCTACCTTGCATGTTCACAGTGTCTTTTTCTACATCACTCTTCCATCTTTCTTTATAGTTTCTATTTATACATGTACTTTTTATATAGGGAACTAATTCCTAAAGCCAGCCTAGGTTATACATGTGTATGTGTAGAATATTATATATACTACACAAACATAACCATTAACCAAGAGGAGAGACAGCAGCTCAGGCAAAGTAGGTACCTTCCTCAAGTGACCATATAAACATGTCGAAGTTGGTGAAGGTTACGATTTTAATATTTGGATTCACTGAAAAATTATTTATCAGGAGTCTTCTACCTCTAATGGTCATTACATTGCAGGAGATGTATTCCTTTCTTTATGAGTAGATAATAATTGGAACTACTCATGCAAATCAAATAGAGAATAGACCTAGGGAAAAGAAACAAGCACTAGGAAAGCACCCAGTGTAACAGCACTATAGAGGCCATTGTGAGCAGCTCCTTCCTCCAGAACATAATCACATCTGCTCTCTGTGGATTAATGTGCCATAGCATGCAATTTTGTGCTACATAAACTCATCTTGAATATACATCGTGGAATCTCTCATTCAAATACTGTACAATATTCCTGCAGCACTGCCTGGCTCTCTTATTGTTATAGCTGATATTCTGTCGAACCTGAAGCGATAAATTAATACTAGCAACGGCTGACGTAGGATTGCCAAACGAAGCGCTGCAGATAGCAGGGGGAAGGCAGGTTCCTGGTACCCCCTGCTTTTGTGACTCCTCCTTGTCCCAGTTTTCCTCTTACCACTTTAAGCAATCTTAGATCATCTGGGTTGGAAAAAATCTTCAAGATCAAGAAGTCCAAGCACCAGCTGATGAAGCCCAATTCTCCACAAGATGCTTGTAGTGTCATTTTGGTTTCTTAGATGGGTGCTGGAACAAGAAGTAAATCCAAGAACTGATCCCAACAGTCTCTTCCCAGGCAAGCTCCTCACAAAGATCCAGCAGATTGGTCAGTACCTGACACATCTATCAGCCTGTTCCTGAACAATTCTTGTCTGCAGAAAAAACGAGCTCCTAAGCTTTCTCCCTTCGGTACTCTCCTACTTTCTTGATTCCTGTGGTTCACTGCAAGGCTGTACTAAATCATACCAGTAATTTCCACCAATGCTAACTTTACTGAAATACACATTTCCTGTCCAACATCACAGCCTAAATTCTTGTCACAGATTCCCCGATGGCATCCAGAACATCTCTTCCCCTTCCCTCTCAAATCCAAATCAAAAGGGGTCTCTTTCCAAGACCAATGGCAATTCCTTGTTCCAGCTCCAGGTTGGAGGCATTTTCCCAGGCCTTTCGTCTTCCCTAAGAACCCCTGATTGCTTGTTCTCTTGCAACAATTGCTTGTTAGCTCTCCTGAAATACCTCTTCTAGAGACTCTCCCTAGTTCTGCTGATGTTGGTACATTCAAGAAGGTCTGCAGGAAAGAAGATGTAGGCTTATGTAGAGAAAAACCTCGGGCAGCCCTGAACCCCAACACAAGCACACACACAGCCTGCAAAACTCCATTTCCATGACAGCTTCAGGAATGTAGTGCCAAAGAAACAGCTGCACTTCCACCGTCCATATGGCAAGAACCTAGCTTAAAAGCAAATGCCTTATTTAGGAAAGAATATATTTAGACCTCCAGTGACATCAAGAAAGAACAAACGGAATGACCTATTCCTGTTTGTAAGAGGAGTACTTATAAAAGATTAAAACAGAGCCCTAGCAAAACTCTTTCAAACACATGTAAACAAAGTGCTCTGGATCAGGCAGCCTAACAACAGAGATTTCTATTCCTCACCCTTTATTTTTCTGAGGCACTTTAACTTTCAGGAGGTTAGAAAGGTCTGAAAAAAAGTTTTTCTTAACTTTGTATCACTGTATTTAGAAAACAACATTTTTGGCAGAGGGAATAATTTCAGAACCTATGAGAAAATTTACTGTGTCAGAGGTCTCTTTCTAAGGAGAATTTTGCAATGCTGCAAAGCATGGCAGCGAGGTATGGTATAGACCTCTCTGGCTAATTATATACTAGCAAAGGTATGCAGGTAGCAGTAGACGCTGGCAATGTTAACCCCTGTGGGCTGGTAACTCAACAAGCAGTGGAAATGCAGGTTGATTTCCAATCGCTGCTAAGGCCTGTGCTGCCACAGCTACATCATTATCGGCAGGTCGTTGGTTTAAAATGAGTGTGGGTATGTCCCAGGAACCCCGACCTACCTGGGGATACTGGGATGCTCCAGTCTGACACTGACTGGGCCCTCAGGAGAGCGTTTCGTCCTGCTCACGTGGGGTCCCACTTCACGGTAACACTTGCTGACTACCTGAGAGAATTTTTTCCCCATCCCACTTTGCATTTCACACCTGGTCACTGTGGCATTTAAAGACACTGCTTTATTTAAATTCTGCTTTGATTTCCAGCATAATACATTCTGTATCCGTAGGCACCGTTTCTCTGAAACTCCTAGAGTTATTACACACACTTGCACATGATTGTTCAACTGGCAGTGGAGAGAGATGTTGTCTAATTGTGCTCCACTAATCACTTTTTTATGTGACTAAAATTTGTTCACTTAATTTGAAACATTTTGCAATTATCCAAAATCTGGTACTAACTTTACCATCAATAGGGAAGCGCTTCTAAAACAGAGAATTTTAGATTTATTTCCCATACTGGGATTTGTCTACGTTAATGAAATATTTAGATTAACCTTCAGCTCTCATGGCTATTTTGCAATGTGTTCAGACTGAGCTGCTGACCAACCACGTTTGAGTTAGCTCCCCGTGGTCTTTAGTAGGATTTCTGAGCACAAACACCCTCAAGTCTGCTCTGTTCAAAGCTGAACACTGTTGAGCAAGGTAAGAAGATCCAGTTCCACATTATTTCCACTGCAAATGGCATAAAACAAAGAGGAAGAGGCTGGAAATAGGCAAATTCTGTTTTCTTTTCCATAAAAGGATAGATTGGAGCAGTGAACAGGAGATTTCAAGGTTAATGATTAATGGGCAAAGGGATTCTTGCAAAGCAGTTGATAATTCTGTCCTTTCTTCCCATCTCTTGGCAGAATTTAGCAGTGAATTTCCCAAATCCCATTCAGAGAAAGAAGAAATGAAAAGTTTGCAACTTCTCTCTTTTTTGTTGCTTTCTTGTATCATCACCCCAGCAGATACATATGGAGGAAAGAAAAAAGGTAAATATCCTATCAAAAAAATAACGATGATACACTTTTTTGAAATGTTTATGTTATAAAAAACTAAGTAGTATTGAATGTCTGGCAATCAGTATATTGGGGCTTGTGGTTTTTTCGTTTGTTTGCTTGTTTGAGTGTTATGTTCCCTTAAAATATGATATTTATAACTGTGGTTATTGGAAAATGTAGTTATCTGCAATGAAAACATTTCTCAGTGGAAATCTATACATTTGGAGACTATGGGCTTAAGGTAGTCTGACCTTTAACAAAACATCCACTGAAGGCTAAATTAAAAATGTATTAGTTTGAACATACACACTGAACTGGTAGCAGTCCCAATCTTCTTGGGGTGGAAGTATTCTTTTCAGTCTCCTACTAAGAACAAAAATTTCTAGCTATCTGACAGTGTTGAAGCTTTCATTTTCTGAATTGCCTAGCGCGGGTTGCCTTTCACCCCAAGTGTGATGAATATCGTTGAGTGAAAGAGATAACTCTGCAGTGTGCTCTGTGAGAGAAGTACTGTGGAGGATCTTTATCATTTACATGGGGACACAACCATTTTCCCTGCATTTGTGACACTACACATTAAGTCTGTATTCGTGTGACTGTTGGAGTATGACGGTGCATCACAAAACTGCATTTCTTAAACCTCCAATGTGACTGACAAAGTCAATTTCATTTTTGCCCTCGTGGCTAAGCCGTACATAGTGAACATTAGTTTTCCTCCTTATCTGACTGCATTTCTAATAGTCTAAGTCTGGAGGGGATAAATGTAAATTTTGCCTTAGCTGGAAGTAAAGCAAGATAAGCACATTCACAGAAGTATGGCTTCTTTCAGTAGCTGTGTTTTGCACTTATGTTAATTCATATTGCTGGTTTTACAAGGAATTTGCTATAAAAATGCTTTATGCGTAATAGGCGCAGGCCACCTTTCTTTGATTCTGCACATTAAACTTCACCTTGTGTTTCATTTTGAACAATATAAAATCTTGAGGTAAAACGCAACGAGAACTATAAATTTCAATTAATGTTGTAACAGCTTGGCTTAGCAGGCAGCAAGGCCTGCGCATCCTTTTAAGTTGCTAAATCTCAGCAAGCTATTTATAAAATTTCAACAGGTTCTACAGTTTTAGGAGAACCCAAAATCAGAACTTTACTTTGAGGCTTTTCACGGCCTCAACTGTCCCAGCTTTGCCAAGGCCCTTTCAGACTCCAAGTTTAGTTCACCTTAGACACAAACACAGGGCAGAGGCTGCCCCCCTGTTCTTTTCCAGCCGCAGTCTCATCTTATGCCAGCTCACGTTCTCCTGCCATCACTATCTGTGGCACCTCTTACAGCAAGGTCAGTCACTTCACTCTCTCCATCCCCTTTTCCCTCATGACCTAGTACTCCCATGTCAATGGACTTCACTTGTTTGCTCATCGCTTCTGCAGCTTAAAGCCCTGCTTGTGGGCTGCAAAAGACAGGGCACATGCCGACGTAGCGCTAGCAGATACACCTAGCTCATAGCACGTTGGGACAAGAGACTGTGGTTTAAGAAGCAGTTCAGGTGCATTTGGAAAACTTAAAGGAGAGGGGGAAAGAAATGTCCGCTGTTTTTTCTTCTAGAGACTATCCAAAGCTTGAGTAGCTTTGCTACAGAGAGTAGCTCCAAGGTTAAAGCCCTGATATTCCATTACACTGAACTCGGGCTCCTCGAAGTTGTGAAGCAGCACAACTCTAACTCCAACTCTACACTAATGTATATTTCTGCAACTGGTACTCCCTTGTTGTCCTTCCCCAATCCAACCTTAGCCACAGCAGCTTTGTGCCAAAGATAACGTGACACTCTGTTCTCAAAGCTTTGCCTCGTTTCTGTTACCAACCGATCCATGAGCACAGCTCAGCTAGCTCTCCGACCAAACCAGCGCTGCGGTGGTGGCAAGACCTGGAGGAGCCTTCTTCCTCAGTCCACTCCTCAGTGAGGCTGTTTGCCATAGTGGCTGATACAAATGGCAATAAAGCATTAATCCTCACTGAGGAAGGGCTGAGAAGTTTTTAGCCCTGCGTGGGAGGCCTTTTAACACTTTGAAGACAGCTTTCTGTGAACATAGTACATGCTGTACCTAAATACACCTTCTACCTCGGAGCTTGCTCATTCCTGCTTTAGCAAGAACTGCAGCAAAGAACGGTGTAACTGTAAGGAGCTACAAGGCCTTCTCAAAGCTGAGCCTGCTATGTAATTTTAGCACAAGCAATTGCCTACAAGGGAACCATCCTCTGAAAGCACAAACAGCGTGTCAAGTTCTTCTCATTTATTTGTACCTGGAAAATAAACAACTCTGCTTCAATTTTCTCCATATCAGTCTATCCACCTACACAGTAAAAGAAATTATATTACAAAAGATAATTTATATGAATTAGACTGCAGCAGCTAAAACTGTAGGTAGTCATATGCAAATCTTTCTCTTCAGACTAAGTGAGTTATGTTTAGACATATAAACATATATTACAGGGGGTTATTTTATAATTATGTAGAACAAGATGGACTGGGTTACCAGGCATACATAACATCATATTTAAAACACACACAAAGGTTATTATTAAAAACCCACAGAATGCTTTAGAAATGCCATGGTTTTCTTGTATATTTACATAGCAGGAAAAAAAAAGTTTCATATTTTTTGCATACGTTCATTGTCTAAACGTAGAATCCCATAAAAAACTACAAATAACCACCTAAAAATAATATCCCTGAATTTGAGCCACAATGATTCTTTCTAGAAATACGCAAAATATATTTTAACATAAGCTTTCATTTACTTTGATTCTTCTCCTAAAAATTAAGTCACTAGGTATAAACATATTCCAGTTCTTCTTATGGACTAGAAGAATTCAGTAGCTGACACAGAAATACCTATTGTTAAGCTGCTGCTTTTTACTTGAGAGAGTCACAGCTGGCAGTTCGGCTGGACTTTGACATCCAGAAGTGAAGGTAACATCTTTAGGTTTATTACATAGACCATGGAAATGGATTATGCTGAAACTGGAATAGCTGTTACTTTTTCTTTATTTTCCAATCACATTATAGTTAGAGACATAAAAGGTGTGCTAGGGATATCAAATTCTCCAAAGCCTACAAAAAAGTCCTCAATAAAGTGGTGTGTACTTGGAGTATTCTATATCACATCTGAAAAACTCCCAAGATGATAATTTTTATATGAAGCTTAAAAAATACTGGCAATATAAGAGACTTAGAGAAGATTAAAAAGCTAGTTAAGCTGCAGAGAGAGAGATCTAAAGTCTGCTAAGACGATGAGATGGTAACCTTTAACATTGAAGGTGATTATCACTTTCACTGTCTTACAGGTCTTTCAGTTTTCTACTGAAAACATAGAGAAATAATTATTTCCTTGAAGCATATTCAATGAAATAATTTCACTCAACTGGAACAGGCTTGGTCTTCCTCCCTCCTCACGCAGACAAATTAAGTGTGCAGTACCTACAGACCACGGTTTGATGGACGGCTGAATTCAAGATGAGCACTTTCATGACCAACAGATCAAATCATTATCTTAATTCCAGTCATGTCGATCCTATGTACCCTAAACTCATATCCTCATCTCGTGTTTCCATGACATTCCTATCCCAATGTTCTCAGTTCCTTCTCTACATTTCTACAGCACATCCATATTCCTCAATCACCCCACGACACTCCCGTGGTACCCGCAGGCCCCAACACACAGTCTCCATCACATAGCATCACAGCCCTTCCTAGGACCCTCCTCAGTCTGCGACCCTCCCCCATGGTCTCCCTCCCAAACCCTGCCCTACTGTCACCTGCTTCTCATGTCTGCTACCTACTTTTTTTTGGCTTGCTCTGGATCCATGCTGTGACTGTTTCAGGGGTGTGCTTGTGTCCATGACCTAGCTAGTAACTGGCCCAGAACTGCTTCCCGCACCACATGGGCAGCTGGTGTTCTCCCGTGTTTGGTACTGGTGCTAAACAAGATCAGATTCCAGGGTCAAAATGTTTTGAGCTAATTGCACTCACAATGTCTGCGTGAGTTGAACTCGAGCATAAGCCGGTCCTCTCTGGGTCTCCCTGTCTGATGAGCAGTTGGTTGTCTCCAAATAACAGCCAGAGTACAAGGTCACAGGAAAGCTTCATGGGTAATCAAGGTGCTAGCACTCCATGGATATCTGAATCCCAAGTCAATGCAATAGCAAATGTGTTGCTACAAGGGTCTCTCCTCTATCCAGCTGTTGATTTTGAGAAAACAAGTAGGAACTGAATATTTGAGACCTCTTTCTCTACATAAAATTGGATTTAAATTGGCTCAAACATCCAAAAAGCGCTGAAGAGATTGATTCTCTCTTCACATGCTTGAATACTCCATGATTACCGCCTATAGAAACAAGACTAAAGACCACTAATATTTCTAATTTCCTTCAACAGAGTTTGTGCATCACCAATGACCTTGACCGGTCACTTCTATCTAGATTATTTAAGCATGGATTCAGGAACTACATTTTATCGCATACAGAAATATTGGTCCAAGAATTCAGGCTGCTTTCCTTCTGGAAGTTGGAAGTCCCAATGTTAGGGTACTAACCAGTTACAGTAATGATCTGTCTTATGCTATTATTAGAAAAAGTGCTACAAATTCCTTTGCTGCCATTTTCTGAGTGGCTGTATTTCAGAAATGCTAGCTGTGTACACAGCATTTGCAGTGTTCTCAGGAGTCTCGGAATTCTACTGAAGTTTCTATAACCTAAAACAGTTATTCTGCCTTTCAGGCTCTTATCTACAAATATATTTTTATAGCTATACAAATTTACAAATATAATTTCAGCAATACATTTCCACCACAGAGTCCAAACTATAACTGTAGTCTAACTAATTAAAGACCCTTTGCTTTTGCCCATGAAAAGATACAATCATAGAAACTAGATCAACAAAGGAACTATCCATGCATAAAACAAGTTTCAATATTTCTACTAATGCGAGTGACTGAAC